TTCTTTCAGATGGAAACTTGTCATTCTTAGCTTGCAGTGGTGTGTGTGTGTGTGTGTGTGTGCATGTGCACATGCATATGTGCACTCGTGCATCTTCTAAGGACATATAGGTTTCTATAGAGTATTGCTAATTCAATCCTTTCAAGACAGGAAACCTCACTTTGTTTTTCACAGAATCTGAAAAGAGTAAATGATTCTTTCTTTTTAAAATGTAGCAAAACCAAAAGCATGCTGGAGAAAAGGCAGTTCGCCCTATAGGAAAATCAGTTTGCACAAGAAGTTGAGATGGTGTCTTGTACATATTCCTACAAGTGTGGACACTCCATCTGCTTGTTTACTATTCATGGGACTAGAGGAAATGATGCTGATGATAAGAAAATATAAATCCAAGGAAAAGGAGAGAAATCTGTGCCTGCTACTTCAGTAGCCACACTCTTAGCTAAGCCCTGAATAAGGCTGAAGTTGACAAGCAATGATAAACACTCAACAGGGCCTTCTCCAGGATCACAAGTATCAGGTCTCCCCTTCCCCACCACAGTGGGATCCAGGCAAGAGCCCTGTGCCAACTATAAATATGCCATCTCTAAAGCCCCCTGAAGGGAACCTCTGTATCGCATGTAAGAATCTTAGTTTAACTTCTGGTCTGAAGTAACACCAAGACAGAATCACACTAACCATGCATTTCTGAGATGTGAAAGTCAGCTATGGGAAATTAAGTTCAAGGAGAGGGGTCCAAACAGAGACATAAGGGTTGTGTGCAGTTTCAATTTTTTTTTAGGAACAGGCTTAAATGTGAGAAACAAGCATCAGACCCATCCTGCTAGCTTGCAACAGGTCAAGTTGAGGGAGTTCTCTTTCAATCCTTGTTCTATGCTGAGCAGGGCATTCTGGGAGAAGCAGCTGCACACTCAGAGCTGACTGTGCATATTGGATGAAAGTAGTGGTTCTTTTCAACCACACTTGTGTACGTGGGCAGCGCCATAGTCTCCCAGTGTCCTTCCAATCCATCCTCACCCTCATTTGGGCAGCTTAACAAATTTTCATTTGCCTGCATGAGTCAAAATTTATGCCATGTGCAGTACAGACAACAAATATGAACCCCTTTGCATATACAGTACTGAGTTGTCAGTGAAAGCAAACATGGGTATA